TGTACCCTACCGAACATGTTCCCGTCCCACCCTGTACATCACTTTTGGAACCAACGCTCCACCACTGCTGGGACATGCGCTATGAATTTCGTGAAATTTGCGTTTCAGCGCCTCTTATCAGATCTTATCATTGGGTATCACTTTCTAAACCCCACCAAATATAATCCCGTCCCACGCTGTACATCACTTCTTGGAACCAACGCTCCACCACTGCTGGGACACGCGCTATGAATTTCGTGAAATTTGCGTTTCAGCGCCTCTTATCAACCCTTATCGCCCTTATCACTTCCTGTACCCTACCGAACATGTTCCCGTCCCACCCTGTACATCACTTCTTGGAACCAACGCTCCACCACTGCTGGGACGCGCGCTATGAATTTCGTGAAATTTGCGTTTCAGCGCCTCTTATCAGATCTTATCATTGGGTATCACTTTCTAAACCCCACCAAATATGTTCCCGTCCCACGCTGTACATCACTTCTTGGAACCAACGCTCCACCACTGCTGGGACATACGCTATGAATTTCGTGAAATTTGCGTTTCAGCGCCTCTTATCAACCCTTATCGCCCCTTATCACTTTCTGTACCCCACCGAACATGTTCCCGTCCCACCCTGTACATCACTTCTTGGAACCAACGCCCACCACTGCTGGGACACGCTATGAATTTCGTGAAATTTGCGTTTCAGCGCCTCTTATCAGATCTTATCATTGGGTATCACTTTCTAAACCCCACCAAATATGTTCCCGTCCCACGCTGTACATCACTTCTTGGAACCAACGCCCACCACTGCTGGGACATGCGCTAATTTCGTGAAATTTGCGTTTCAGCGCCTCTTATCAACCCTTATCGCCCTTATCACTTCCTGTACCCCACCGAACATGTTCCCGTCCCACCCTGTACATCACTTCTTGGAACCAACGCCCCACTGCTGCTGGGACGCGCGCTATGAATTTCGTGAAATTTGCGTTTCAGCGCCTCTTATCAACCCTTATCAGCCCTTATCACTTCCTGTACCCCACCGAACATGTTCCCGTCCCACCCTGTACATCACTTCTTTGGAACCAACGCTCCCACCACTGCTGGGACATGCGCTATGAATTTCGTGAAATTTGCGTTTCAGCGCCTCTTATCAGATCTTATCATTGGGTATCACTTTCTAACCCCACCAAATATGTTCCCGTCCCACCCTGTACATCACTTCTTGGAACCAACGCCCCACCACTGCTGGGACACGCGCTATGAATTTCGTGAAATTTGCGTTTCAGCGCCTCTTATCAGATCTTATCATTGGGTATCACTTTCTAAACCCCACCAAATATGTTCCCGTCCCACGCTGTACATCACTTCTTGGAACCAACGCCCCACCACTGCTGGGACACGCGCTATGAATTTCGTGAAATTTGCGTTTCAGCGCCTCTTATCAACCCTTATCGCCCCTTATCACTTCCTGTACCCCACCGAACATGTTCCCGTCCCACCCTGTCACATTCTTGGAACCAACGCTCCACCACTGCTGGGACATGCGCTATGAATTTCGTGAAATTTGCGTGCGCGCCTCTTATCAACCCTTATCGCCCCTTATTACTTTCTGTACCCTACCGAACATGTTCCCCTCCCACCCCTGTGCATCACTTTGGAACCAACGCTCCCCCCACCACTGCTGGGACGTGCGCTATGAATTTCGTGAAATTTGCGTTTCAGCGCCTCTTATCAGATCTTATCATTGGGTATCACTTTCTAAACCCCACCAAATATAATCCCGTCCCACGCTGTACATCACTTCTTGGAACCAACGCTCCACCACTGCTGGGACACGCGCTATGAATTTCGTGAAATTGGCGTTTTGGCGCGCTCTTATCAGATCTTATCAGTCGAAATCACTTTCTGTAACCTATACCGCACAACCTGTCCCGTCCGACCCTGTACATCACTTTTGAACCAAGCAGGCTCCAGCACGCTGGACACTACATGAATTTCGTGAAATTTGCGTTTCAGCGCCTCTTATCAACCCTTATCGGCCCTTATCACTTCCTGTACCCCACCGAACATGTTCCCGTCCCACCCTGTACATCACTTCTTGGAACCAACGCCCCACTGCTGCTGGGACGCGCGCTATGAATTTCGTGAAATTTGCGTTTCAGCGCCTCTTATCAGATCTTATCATTGGGCATCACTTTCTAAACCCCACCAAATATAATCCCGTCCCACGCTGTACATCACTTCTTGAAACCAACGCTCCACCACTGCTGGGACTACGCTTGAATTTCGTGAAATTTGCGTTTCAGCGCCTCTTATCAACCCTTATCGCCCTTATCACTTCCTGTACCCCACCGAACATGTTCCCGTCCCACCCTGTACATCACTTCTTGGAACCAACGCTCCACCACTGCTGGGACGCGCGCTATGAATTTCGTGAAATTTGCGTTTCAGCGCCTCTTATCAGATCTTATCATTGGGTATCACTTTCTAAACCCCACCAAATATAATCCCGTCCCACGCTGTACATCACTTCTTGGAACCAACGCTCCACCACTGCTGGGACATACGCTATATTCGTGAAATTTGCGTTTCAGCGCCTCTTATCAACCCTTATCGGCCCTTATCACTTCCTGTACCCCACCGAACATGTTCCCCTCCCACCCTGTACATCACTTCTTGGAACCAACGCCCACTGCTGCTGGGACGCGCGCTATGAATTTCGTGAAATTTGCGTTTCAGCGCCTCTTATCAACCCTTATCGCCCCTTATCACTTTCCTGTACCCTACCGAACATGTTCCCGTCCCACCCTGTACATCACTTCTTGAAACCAACGCCCCACCACTGCTGGGACGCGCGCTATGAATTTCGTGAAATTTGCGTTTCAGCGCCTCTTATCAGATCTTATCATTGGGCATCACTTTCTAAACCCCACCAAATATAATCCCGTCCCACGCTGTACATCACTTCTTGGAACCAACGCTCCCACCACTGCTGGGACATACGCTATGAATTTGTGAAATTTGCGTTTCAGCGCCTCTTATCAACCCTTATCGGCCCTTATCACTTTCTGTACCCCACCGAACATGTTCCCGTCCCACCCTGTACATCACTTCTTGGAACCAACGCCCCACCACTGCTGGGACGCGCGCTATGAATTTCGTGAAATTTGCGTTTCAGCGCCTCTTATCAACCCTTATCGCCCCTTATCACTTTCTGTACCCCACCGAACATGTTCCCGTCCCACCCTGTACATCACTTCTTGGAACCAACGCCCCACCACTGCTGGGACGCGCGCTATGAATTTCGTGAAATTTGCGTTTCAGCGCCTCTTATCAGATCTTCATTGGGTATCACTTTCTAAACCCCACCAAATATAATCCCGTCCCACGCTGTACATCACTTCTTGGAACCAACGCTCCACCACTGCTGGGACACGCGCTATGAATTTCGTGAAATTTGCGTTTCAGCGCCTCTTATCAACCCTTATCGCCCCTTATCACTTCCTGTACCCTACCGAACATGTTCCCGTCCCACCCTGTACATCACTTTTTGGAACCAACGCTCCACCACTGCTGGGACATACGCTATGAATTTCGTGAAATTTGCGTTTCAGCGCCTCTTATCAACCCTTATCGCCCCTTATCACTTTCTGTACCCCACCGAACGTGTTCCCGTCCCACCCTGTACATCACTTCTTGGAACCAACGCTCCACCACTGCTGGGACATGCGCTATGAATTTCGTGAAATTTGCGTTTCAGCGCCTCTTATCAGATCTTATCATTGGGTATCACTTTCTAAACCCCACCAAATATAATCCCGTCCCACGCTGTACATCACTTCTTGGAACCAACGCTCCACCACTGCTGGGACACGCTGAATTTCGTGAAATTTGCGTTTCAGCGCCTCTTATCAGATCTTATCATTGGGTATCACTTTCTAAACCCCACCAAATATAATCCCGTCCCACGCTGTACATCACTTCTTGGAACCAACGCCCCACCACTGCTGGGACACGTGCTATGAATTTCGTGAAATTTGCGTTTCAGCGCCTCTTATCAGATCTTATCATTGGGTATCACTTTCTAAACCCCACCAAATATAATCCCGTCCCACGCTGTACATCACTTCTTGGAACCAACGC